TTTCTATGAGCCTATGACATGAGATCAATCTTTCCGTTAACAGGGTGGCTCAACAGAAGTTATATGCATTTTTTATTTTTGTAAAAGGTTTGTTGCTCATATAGTTGTATTAATCATGAATGCATTGTCTTTATTCTTTTTAGATAGAATCATACAATTTAACAGATTGCATAGAATATTGAATTTAAAATATAAACATCTGTTGTTGTACTAAAATTTAGAACTGTCACAACTTTACCTACTTGTTCTTTATGATGTCTTAGTTTAAATTAAAAGATTTCTTATTCTTAATGATGATCTTTGAGATAACACCAAAATAAAAATATGGGTTTATGGGAGTCGTTAAGGAATGAATTCATGGCATGCTGTTACAGATTCCTCTTTCTATTTTGAAATAGTTGCAAAGTTGCACCACTACTTGCTACTCAACTCTAAGTGTGAGTTGATTGATGTTCTTGGGGGTGATAATGACAGTAACAAGCCAAATCTTCAAGTGTCATGTGCATATTTAAAAAAAGGCTCACCCATTATTTAACTTTTTGGTTGATGTAAAAGACAAGTAATAGACAACAATATTTCTATGTTAGAGAATAACTTTCAAGAACTTGTGACCTATGGTTATAATGGCTGAGCTTATTTAGCAGTGGTGAATGAGAGAATTAGGCGGATTAGGAATGATTGGGTGTAATCCAATATCACAATATTTTTAATTATTTGAATAAATAGATTATGATGTAGTGGATTAAAACATATGGAGTTAGAAAAATCAATATCAATTCTCATTGGAGAGCTAAATCCAAAGCATGCACAACACATGTCACTATAAGTAAAAGCCTATGCTAAGCCACCGATGAGTTCATCACGACATCCAAAAGTAATTTTTCCAAGGTTTGTGGTCAAATGACATCATGGCATTAGGACTTGATGTCTATATTGAAGTTCTTGAATTTTCTTATATTTCAATTCTATATCATGTATTATATATTTTTTTAAATCAATGGATCCTTTTAAATTCAAGTTAGGTAATTTAGCACTGAGAAAATTGAAAAAAGTTGATCTATAAATGGATTAGATTTTAGTATTGCATGACAAGTAGTGATTAATAAACTACTCTTTAATTTTTTTTGTTGGATCCCCTCCCCCATATTTTTTCTACAATTTCTTTCTTGGTGGATCACCTATCATGTATTTAAGTAGGACCAATTGCATAAAATGAACTTTTTGACTTATAAATGTAGATGATCCGACAAAAAAAAAATTGAAGAAAAAAATATTGAAAGACATTTGGATTAGGAGTGCTATTTTTACCATGTGTATCAAAGCATCTGCTAGTGTATTGACATTAACTTCCTTACTTTTTTTAATTTTGATTTTTTTCTCCACCAAATTATAAGAAAATCAGTCTATTGATCCATGCATTATTGATTAATTTAGCTCAAACACAAATAAATACAATTTTTAATAAAAGGATATATGGTCTTTAGATTGTCTAATATTTGGTTGACTGCAACCAGTTTTAGTATGTATTCTAATTTGTTTTAACTTTTTCTATAATAATTAAGAGTATTTTAGTTTAATAATTCTTTTTAGATTTTTCATTGGATTTGACCTTATATTCAACATTAAATTATTAATATATATATATATATATATATACACACACACACACACACAAATTTTAACATAAATATAATTAACAATTATTCAAGTGCAATGCATGTGTGCAATAACTAGTAATATAAAATGACATTCAAAAATACAATAAATTTCCAATAAATACCTCCTCATAATATTTATTTCTCACTATATTAACTAATTTTACAAGATTTGAAATATATATACACACACAAACACTACTTATAAATGTCAGTATCTGTAAAAAAAAAATTTGTTTCCTTATTTTATCCCTAATTATTATAATAAAGTCAATTATACCGACCTATATACTTTTATCTAATTTTTATTTTTTATATATATACACTATTTATAAATTTCAGCATCTGTAAAAAAAATTTGTTTTAAAATTTAATCCCTAATTATTATAATAAAGTCAATTATATTCACCTATATACTTTCATCTAATTTTTATTTTTTACGCCTATTTGACTTTCAACTTACTTTAGCCTCTTTTATAAGAACTTTTAAATTCTTTGGAACTCATTTATTAGTAGTATAGTTACATACAATTATCATATTTATTTATGTTAAATTATCACCAATAAGTCTTTGGTCCAATGATACTCTTTACCTTGTGAAAGTTTTATTTTTTTGAAGTCAAGGGTTCAAGCCCCTTCCCCCGTCCCCCTCCCAAAAAAAAAATATTAAACACATGTAGTTATCAAGTTAAATTTTACAATCAAATATATGTTATATTTTATTTTTTGGTATGCAATAATATAATAATATTATAAGTGATCTAACCAATCTATTTAAAAAAATAAAAATTAATAATTTTAGAATATAATTAGATGTGCAAATACCTAAAGAGGTTGAAGAGATACCTAAATAAAAGACAGATTAGTTGATCAAAAACTCATAGAATAAATTAATAATTAAATTTAGTAATAATTAAAATACGAATTAATTATTCAGCACTTAATTTATTATTTAATTCAATTACAAATATAATTCACATTTTTCATAAAAATAATATTATTTAAATTTATTATGTGTAACACACATCGTGCATTACAAATATATATAAATGAGAAAAAATTAAGGCATGTATTTCTGTGTTACATAAATAGAAAAATCTATTTTATTAATTATAAATTATACAAAACGATGCCTATGAAGCATGAATATTTCGTTGAGATTAACGTACCTGTATCAGATACCGTATTTGATACAATACTCGTCAGATACTCAAAAATATGTATCGGATACACTTTCTACGTATTCGATAATAATTAAATATTTAGATACTTCACGGATACTTTTATAATAGAGTTACATATATAATTTTTTAGTTGAACTTTTAACATCTCTTTTCGAATTCACATACCATACAATACATTAACAAAAATTTCATTTTACTTCAAAGGCACATGAGTGTTTTTTAAATATTATCTAAGCTACACGTCAAAAGACCATATAGTAAAGCTATTATATTATAATCTTAGCAAAAATTACTTTTAAGTACTGGGTAAATATTAGTTTTGATTCTTTTAATTAGTCCATTCATTTTGTGAGTATACCACAATGACACGATATATATTTTCTTGAAACTAAAAAGAATTACTAATTATCCTTATTATATGTTAAAAAACTACAAAAATATATAAGTGTTAAGTTGGTTGAAAATAATAAAAATATTAAATATATTTTATTATAGTCGTATCCTAGCCGTACCTATATCATACTTTTTTAGACTTTGTCGTATTGCTGTATCCGTATCTTATCGTACTCATATCCCGTATCCGTATCTGTGCTTCATAGAACGATGCTATTGAGACTTTATTTAGGGACCTAATTCATTACAACTATTTGATTAGTTATGAATTTCATTGTTAGATAGAGTCCACTTCTAATTCAACAACTATGATGAATTAAGTTCCCAAATTATGTCAATAATACTGTTCAATTATAAATAATGACTAATTAACTATTTAATGGAGAGCAATGACACCACAACTATTTGCTACATTTTATTGATTGATGGGTCAGGGCCAATGACCCAACTCATGTTATAAGTCCAGTCTGAATAAAAAGTCCAACTTGAAGAGATCCAATGGGTCCAGCCTAATGAAGGTCTACACCCAAGCAAGCTCATTAGGTTGTCGAGGAGCGACATTACCAAGGGAGTAAGTAGGGTTATTCAAGAGCTTTATCCACGCCGCCTTGGAAGAAGATAACTACAACGTCATCCTTTAACTAGATCTTATGAGGCCGTAACTACTTCATCCGTTGAGAAGATGGAGCCAACTCCACCAAATTAGTTTTTTAGTTACTGATAAGCCGCCTCAATCTGTTAGGAGGCAACTATAACTTGTAAGTCCCGCCAACACTTGGGGGCATTACACACAATCGAGTACATCCACTATTACTCTCATCTCTTTCGCATTGCTTGTATCTCCCTACTCTCCCTACACTCTTCGAAATAATAAAATATCCAAGTCACCCTAGCTCTTCATAGTAGACGTAAGTCACGTTAATCGAACCACTTTACATCTTCGTCTTACTTGAGTTACTCACTCTCTTTATTTAATTGTTGCATTAATTACTGATCAGGTGGTGTGTAAACGCAATTTGTGCATCATTATTAATAACTAGTGATTATTACATACTTGTGTGACTCAATCCTATCCTATCCCTCGAAGTTTGCCAAACACCCTCATAAAGAACAACATTGGGAGTGGAGGAAGATACATAAGTGAAAAAGTGAGATGAAATTATAAGAGTGCTAAATATAGTTTTAAAAAAAATGATGTTAAAACATCTCCAACCCTAAATTAAATTTAGACTCAAATTTAAATTTAAGTAAAAAAATATAAAAAACTTGTTCCAACATTTGATTTAAATTATACAAAATCAAAGGATACTCATTTTTTACTCAAATCAAGAGAGATTCAATTCCTTATCTAAATTTTTAATGATGAGATTTCAAAATCTTTTAAAAATTCAATAATCATAATTATTTTGTTTTAAATTTGAGTTTGCCCTTATTTAAATTTGAATTTCTCTTTTTTTAAATTTGAGTTTTTTCTTTAAATGGTATTTTGGGTAATTTATGTGTGACCACCACCCGTGTAGGAGATTTATGATGACTTCGTGCGCGAGATTGGAGACATGTTAACGGTGGGCGTCCAAATGTTGTTGCCACCGTTGGTCTCAGCTATTAACCCAAGCGTACAAGAGAAGTTTCTCTTAAGTTCCAATTTCATGTCTTGTGCTTTCACTATACGGCTTCAACACTCCCACTTCTCATTTTTAGTGTAGAGAGATATATATTTGCTGGAGAGAAAGTAACCTTTGAAAAAAGAAAAAACAGCTTTGAAAAAATGGCGGGTTCGCAGTCTGATTCAAAAGTTTTCAGTGTTCGAATCGTTTCGATCGATTACTACATGGCCGCTCCTATTCCAGGCCTTGATATTTGCTACAGTAGTTTTCAAGGTACTTTTTTTTTTCCTTCTTGGATTAAAATTTCGGATTTCATTTTATTCCGAGTTAAAGTGTATATTTTGCATCATATATCAATGATAGTAAACGTGGTTCTGGGGTTTCTTAGCTAAAATTTCTCGTTGTAAGAAAATTTTTCTTGTTTATTTATTTTTGAAATAATTTAGGTGTGAAAGTGAATGAGGTTCCTGTAATCAGAATCTATGGGTCGACTCCGGCCGGTCAGAAGACTTGCTTGCATATTCATCGAGTAAGGTCATTGTTTGATTTGTTGTTTTATTATGTTTGTTGATTTCATTTATTTATTCCATCATCTTTTTGAATATATTTCCCTGGGTTGATGGGTAGGTTGGATTAACCTAACCCTGATAGTATAACTTAACATTGTGATTTGAGATTAACTGTCTGTATTCCAAGTGACTGATGAACAGATTCATTGCTTCCCTGTCTTGTGGTTTGAAAATGGTCCGACTGAATATATCTTATATTCAGTGCATGGAGTTAGATGGTTGGACAACATGGCAATCTTTTCCTACTGTCCACTGGAATTTTTTGGAATGCAATTTGAAAAATTAAACTGAGAATACTCTGTAGTTTAGAGTGTGTTGGTCTTCGTTGATGTTTGGTACATACGGTGGATGTTGGGTGGGGGTGGAAAGTATTCACTTGACCAAAGATATCCACCATGTCATGGCCATTGTGTGCTTTTGGTTCCAGATAGTAGTCACTAATATTGTTGAAGTATAAATACTTACGTTCAACCGGTTAAACTTTTGAAGTTGATGATTGTTTAATATGGTATTACAGCAGGAGATGCTGTGTTCGAATCTCGTTGTCACTTTAATTATTAAAAGATTTTCAACTGCTAGACCCAAAATCTAGCTTGCACATGAAAGGGGGCATGTTGAAGTATAAATACTTAAATTACACATTTTCAAATAGTTTAAACTTTTAGAGTAGATAGTTGTTTAACAAATATATATGTTTCAAGGGTTTATTTTATTTAGCCACAGAAAGATTTTAAAGTTGCACTTTGCCCCTTGAAAGGTAAAAAGTCTTGCATTATCCCATTAATTTTCTCAAAGGGTGGTTATATGCCCCATAGCTTGACATCAATAATGTTTTTATTTGTCAATATGATCATGCAAAAGAGATGTTGTGTTAGAAAATTAAATTTTCAAAGTGCAAAGTGCATCTAGTAAAAAAACTTTAGGGGGCATTGTACCATTATGATGTCTTCACATGCAGAAAGACCGGCGTCGTATGACATTGGGGAATATGGCCCAGCCTTTGAGAAATTTAATGGACGGTGTGAGACATTTTATATCTCATGGGGGCAAAGTGCTACTTTTAAAAATCTTCCTTTTCGCAAAGTGAAATTAGTCTTATGTTGAAATATTGCTAAGGTTTTTGAATTTCATTTTAGGGATTCAAAATAGACTAGAATAAAGTATGTTTTGGATTGGATTTTCTGTTTTGGGGAACTGCGGAAATAAATGAAAACATTGAAAAGAAAAGAACTTGAAAAGTGTATTAAGAAAGGAGAAGGAAGAAAATTGTGAAGTGTGTTAGAAACTCTACACAAGGTTAGGAGCATGCACAACTCATGCATTCTAGACCTAGGCGTAGAACATTCATGTTTGCATAGCAAAAAATCAGAAGAAAAAAAAAAATAGACAAAGAGCAAAATCATCAGAAACAAGACCATCTATGTGCATAAGCTAAGGACTAAGAAGTACGAACACTTCATTTTGGTCAGAGTGTTGGTGTCGGACATGTCTAGGACATGGACACATTTCAGACACTCTCGGGCACGGGTTGAACACGTTAAAATGAGTGTATAATTTTTTTAAGACACGTTGAGGACACGTTTTGAAAACTTGTCTTACAACTTTATAATTAAGTAAGTTATTTTTTTATTTTAAAGAAATATGGGTCAAATGCATAATGTAGAATGAACTATAATCACTATATGAATATAGGACATGGAAATAATATAATTTCAGAAACAATTACAAAATTATATGCAAATAGAATAAGTTTTTATATGAAAGAAATGTGATGAAAAATAGGTTATGAAATTGAAGTTCTTTGAAATTGATGAAAATTAGGCTTAGGATTTGAGATATTTTTGAAAATGAAAATTTTAGTAATTATTAATTGTTGATTCATGAATATTTATGATGAGGGTGTATCGGTATATGTGGCATTGAGTTTTTTATTTGATGATATCATTATGTGAGTTGTTAGAATAAAAGAAAGGATGAATTGAATGATTATTATCAAAATATTTTTATTTTATCATATGATCACACACACGCACACACACACACACACATATATAATATGAATGAATAAATACATAGTATTTAACGTGTCCCACAACGTGTTTGTGCCCTATTTTTTTGAAAAATTTCGTGTCACTGTCGTATCCGTGTCCATGCTTCTTAGGCTTGGGGTGGTTGGAATTTTTATATATGCTATACGTTCTCAGTTTTTTCTCTGTTGGAATTTGAAGGCATTTTATAGGAAAAATGCTCAGGCTGCAATACATTTTGGAGCACTAGATAAGTTGGCAGCCAATGCTGACTATTGTCTGTGCATCTACAGTCAAGGTAGGGGAAAACCAGGTTGTGGATGGGGCATGGAGTAGGTTTCAGATTCAGACAAGTGAAAACTGAGAAAATTGAGAGAGAGAGAGAGGAGATGGATTGAGGAAGTGGAATTTCTGGGTTTGGTATCATTTATCTAGAGTTAGCTTGACTTTGCGTGTGGCTGAGGTCGAGGGGAAAGGTGTTTTCGCTGCCTTTACGACCACAAGCTAGAGTTTTTGGTTGGAGGAGAATCAAGAATTAGGGATGAAGGGAGATTTTCGGATTTGAATGCACATGAATTAGTTGATTGTCGTCTTTCCTTCACTATGTGATGGTCTAGTTGGTTGTTGCACATCATTTGGATGAAGGCTTAACCGTTGATGTAGATGGTTGGATTTGAATATTCTTGGAAGGGATTCAAAATGAGGTTTCATCAGCAATTGTTTCTTGACTGTCTGTTTATGAATCTGGGTCCTTGAAGATCTTTATTAGTGATTTCCAGTATACCAATGGTTTGCTAACAGAAGAATATATTCTCACTATCACCTTCAGCTGGTTATTGGTCTAATCTTGATAGAATCAATGTGTTTCTGGAAGGAGACTCAGTTATATTGAAGCAGGTTCCCTATGTCAATTCTGGGCATCATTTTAATTGGATGGCATCCCTAAGTTAATCCCATGTTTGTTGCTATGCTTGTGCATTGTGGCATCTATGTTGCCCTCTTACTTACAAATTAGATGCTTTCATCATGTATTTAAAGAAATGCATTTCTATATGTTGGGATGCTTGATTGTCTTTCTCTTTCCTACTAATTTTTAAAGGCACATACCCACATTAGTCCCGTCAGCTAGGCATGCTGGGCAGGGTGGTTTGGGTATCAAATCAAAATTTTGTATTATAGCTTCTAAGATTTCCTTTTGATCTGTCCACTGCAAAAGTTTGCAAAAAGAAGACATAAATATATATTCTCTACAACTTGCATTGTCAGATTAGGCTGGTGTTGGATGCCCATTTACTTAGGTGCATTGTGTAGGCTATTGTTGCTTTTGGACCTGGAGAGTAAAACATGGGGCTTTTATAAATTGCTTAATAGGTCGAAAAAAATTTACCTCTATTGGTTACCTTTTCCAATTTTAGAGACTGGTTTGATGCATTTATATCCTGAAACAATGTTAATAGGCTGTTCAAGTTGTTAAATGCATCTTCCAACATCTGGGAAGGTCCCCCTCTCTTCCCCCCTGCAAAAAATAAAAAAATAAAAAAAAACTCAAGTGCAGGTAAGATAACTCATGGTTGCCTAAGAACTTAAGTGCTTTGTTCAAGTGATGTACCTTTTTGAAACTAGATCTTTTCTGGCTTTAAGGTCTTTAACTGCACTTGAATACCGTTGATGCTTTTGTGTGGCACTTTTTCTTCCTAACCCAATATAGATATCATTTGGTATAAACCTTTATATGATATGACAAAACTTTTAGTAAATTATTCTAAAAAATGTTTAATGTGATTGTATTTATCTGTTTGTATTTTTAACTCTTTCAAATATGCCCTATCAATATCATCCACTTAATTTTGGTTTATATAAATTAACACTGCATAGACTTGGCCAATATCAATAAGTCATGGAATGTCAAGTGCAATTTGAATTCTCTACATGCTAGCTGGGAAAGATATTCCTTGGTGCCAAATTTATAAGATTTTTGAAAAATTGGGCTGCCACTTTTGACTTTCATTTTAATGATTTTGTATGACTTTTTTCCAAATTTTAATGTTAGAAAATAATATAAATATATATAGCAATTTATATTTAGTGAGGTTTTTCCTTTCCCCCTTCATATGTTTTTACAGTTTTCAAGTTGCATTCCTTAAAAGATAAAGGCGCCAAATACTTACAATTTTCATGGAACTTAGTTTTTGATTATTCACAATGGTTGAATGCAAATAGCATTACATAAACACAACTTTTGCTCTAGCGATATTGAAATAATTTCTTGTAGTGGATTAGTGTGGATAGGAACCTTTTTTTTGGGTTTTTAGAGTGGATAGGAAGAAGTTAAATATATTGAAAAAACTTAAATGTTAGTGTATTAGATTTTATTCATGCCTTGTAAGGTGAGTTTCTAAGAGTGTCCTTATTACCACATGATTGTCACAACATTATGACCTTTTCGATTTCCCTTCTGTTTTTAGTAATTACCTATCGATTAATCATCATTTTGAATATTACTGTAATTTTTATTTACGTTTGAATGATGGTCATGCTTCATGGTGCTGAAAAAACATGCTGCATGGTAAATCGTTTTTTAATTATTTTTTTAATTTTGTGGTAGTGGCATTGTCTATGTACAAAGGTTCCAGGCCTTAATCATCCTTCTTGTCTGGCACTCTTGCAGGCTTTACCTTACTTATATGTTCCGTGTTCTGATCTATTGCTTCAACCAGGCCAAGAAGGTATGCTACATATTTTGAAGTAGTCCATTATTAACTTAGCATCTAGGATGCATAGATACGTGATACTTGTACGATACAATAAGATACGACGATACGACAAAACTTAAAAAAATCAGGATATGGGTACGGTTAAGACATGTCTATAATAAAATATATTTTATATTTTACTATTATTCAACGACTTAAAAATTATAATTTTCAATAATTTTTTAACAGTAGTAAGAAAAATGAACTTTTACCTTGTAAAAGTTGTAATATCGTCTCCTTATGATATATCCATAAAATGAGCTTGACCAATTAAAGGAATTAGAACCACATTTAGCCAATTGTTTTGTTTACAAGTATTTATTTTTAAGATTATAGTGTAACTAACTCATTTTTTGATGCTCTTTAGACATGTAATAGTAGATAATACTTAAAAACACTTGTGTCTTCAAAATCAGATATAATTTTGGTATTTTTTGTATTGTATGTGAACTTAAAGGGAGAAGGTATAGATTCAAATTAAAAATTGATATCTTTGCTTCATGTTTAGAAGTATTCGCGAAATTCCACACATTTTATTAATTATCAAAAATGTATGGTGCATATCCATTACGCATCCGACGAATATCGCATCCAAAATGGATACGTCGACCAAGGCGAAGTATCCGTGCTTCATCGTTTAGCATTATTTTTTATTTTCCTATTTTTGTGTATTATACAAAACAAATTGTGGATTAAGGCATTCATTTTATAGAGTTATGATTTTTTATTCTTTTGCATCTTTTTGTTTTTGGAGCCTTTGAATTTCTGTGTTTTGGGTGTTGCCTATGATTGTGTTAGATATGTGATGACAGTGGTATTATAGTTCATTTGTTTTTTGAAGCGTGTGGATTCTTATTTGGCCAGCTCTATTGAAATGTTTTAACCACCAAGGATTATTTTGATCTAGATTTACACATCTTTGTTATTACTAGTTGATGCCCATGTGCGTTTGCACGTGAACCATAACGAGTAACAAATACTATATATTATTGTTGTAAGCAGTGAAGGCATATATTTTGTGCAACAATGAATTTAAAATTTCTAAGCAAGTCCACTAATCATGCACCAATATTTTTGGCTGTTGCTACATTGAGCGCTCATAGACTTACAATCAAAGTGATCAATGGAGTATCCATCCTACATGAACTATATGTTTTTGTCTCTCACATTTAAGTTAGTATGGAAATAGCACATAGACATAACCCACAATATAAAATTATAGCATAGATAAAGTCCTTGCAAGCAAACCTTAATGTAAAATTATAGCATAGATAAGGCCCTTGCAATCAAAACTTCCCTATATTTTAAGCTGGCCTATTACACCTTCAAAACTATAAATGTGCACTGTGCATATAAAATGTATTGATCTGGGAGAACCAACATTTAGACTAAATCTTGAGTAACATAGTCGTTAATGTTGCATCTACCATTAGTCCTTGCTGGTGGCTATTTCGTTTTAAGGCCAAGCCTTTTCATAATTAACATTGACCTAAAAGAGTCACAAAAATATTTGAGTAAAAAACACTGTTTGCCCTTAAACTATTACAAGGGTGTCAAATAAGCCCTTGAACAATTTTTTGTGTCAATTTACCCCTTCATCTTTCAGAAGTGGTTCAATTAAGCCCTTCTGTTAAATTCCGTTAATTCTTCAGATGGCAAAGACTCACCTGAGTATCACATGCCTTGGCAAAAGGGTGTTATAGTAATTCACCAAATTGGCGCCAAACTCCCCTCCAATATTTTCACAGTGTGAAGCTCACGTGACTCTGTGAGAGACATATATGGTCTCTGTGATGCTTTGTTTTGAAGAGCTTCAGACGAGGAAAACAGAGGAAGGAAAAAAGGAGATTTAGGACACAAAATTGAAGGAGAAACTGAAAGAGGGAAATTGAAAAAACTAGTGATGGAGGTGTTTTGCTAGTGTGGTAAACAAGCAATGAAGAAGACATCTTAGACTGATCACAATCCCGGAAGACAGTTCCTTGCCAGCGAGAAGAATGAGATATTTTTTTTTTTTTATTATTTTGTTTTGTTTTATGTGGTTTTTTCGTAATGCCCACACAGTGATTTAAGTAATGTTTTTGTTAATTTCAATTCGGTGGGTGTGGGTTTTTCAACTAGTACAATCCCCCAATGTGCGTACGGTCACGCCAAGTAATTCCTAGGCTATTGAGGAAATTGAATTGGTTAGAATCTTAAGAAGAAAGATGTAGGTCAAGAGAGAAGTGGTTATGGTTGTCTATCATCGTTTGTTTGATAATTATATGGTTACTATTGAACTCTACATGTTTACTTTTCAGCCAATTAATATCAACTTATTTGTAATATTTTGAGCCTAGTTGGCAGTTACTGACAAGTTTTCAGCCGATGTAATCCTATGGTTGTGTACTTAATAGCATATGCTTGGAGCTGATTACACACCAGTTTGCAAAACCTGATTACATAGCAGTTTTTGTCTGAATTTAATAAAACCTGATTACACACCAGTTAATGCAAAACCTGATCACAATTCATAAAACCTGATTCCATATCATTCACAAAAGGATGATTACACAAAAGTAGTTTGTACATTCACCAAATTAAGCTGATTATGTACTAACATTAAAATCCACAAAAGCTGATAGTACATAAACCTAATGGACTTTCAATAATTAATACAGACCAATAAATCAATAGTTCACAAAAGAAGTCCTAATCAGCAGTCTTTCAACCAGCAGTTTTTCTATTTGTTGACTTGCACCCAATCGGGTGTTGGTGGCGCTGGTGGTACTGGACAAGATAACCTTGGTGGAATGAATACTCTCCCTGCGGCTGTTAACCTTTGGATGGCTTCTTGAGCTCTTTCATCAATCGAATTCACTAATTGAGCATTTCTTCTAATCTGCATAATACATAATGGTTTAGATTCATTGAAATTGAATTATAAGATACAAGAAATAGAACAAACATAATCCTCACTCACTGTAGTTTGGCCCTTCTGCTGGCTGTTACTTGAATCTAATAGGCTGAGATCCAGATGTTTGTTGATGAGATGTGGTTGGTGCTTGACTTGCAGTAGCCTGGTCCTGAGAAGCTCTTTGTTGCTGAGATATGTTTGGTGCTTCACTGCTAGTACACTGTTTCTGAGAAGCTGTTTGTTGATGAGATGTGGATACTTGACTAGCAGTAGCCTGTTTCTAAGGAGCTATTTGTTGCTGAGATGTGGATGCTGCTTGACTGCCACTAGACTGTTGCTGAGAAGCTGATAGGTGTTTAGATGTTTCTTGACTTCCAGTAGACCCCTTTCCTTTGCCTTTTTTCATTTAGCTTACTGTCTTTCCTTGGTTCATCTGGTTCTCTGCTCCTTGCCTTTCTGGGTCTTCCAGGCTGAGCTTGTACCACTGGAGGCTGTAATGGATGTCCCCCAACTTCTGGCGACATATCTGCACCTTTAACTGGATTTGTTATGTTTTCATAGGCTTTCAAGGCCTCAAAATCAATTCCATTCCTCTACTCTGGAATCACGTCGACAACAACAAACTAATTGGGATGAAATTAGGGTTAGGGTTCTATGCTGTCATCAGACTAGGGGTTAGGGTTTTTGGTGCTAAAGGCCATTTTTTATACCCTGGTGAATTACCGTAACACTCTTTTGGTTGGTTGGAGGATGGTGACTCATTGCCACTGGTGAACAGAAAAAAAAGAGAATAATTAACACTGCAATTTTTTTTTTGGAAAAGTAAAGCACCAGAAAATGTACAATACCCACTTTCAATTTGTCCTCCGTCTATATACAGTCCACAATTTCATTATGTGTTCTACCACGTCTCTCAATGTTGACTTCCTTGCTTTCAATTTCATTGCTTTAGCATTGTGTACCTGCCATGGGGGTTGTGATGGTTCATCTCAATCAAGACTTATGTCATAGCTGCATAAAACACAACACAAAAACAAAAAAAAATACTAATCAACTCATTGATCAAGAATACTAATAGGCAAAACTTATATGTTGCAAGTAAAACATGAAATTGTCAAAATAATGAAACAATAATCAAGAAGTTAGGGAACTAATATTTAGAGGCTCAACAACTAAACTTGAAGACTTACAAGATGTATATGCTAAAAAGCAAACGAAATGAGTTGCCAAAATAGAACTACTAGTATGCAGACTAACAAAGGAAGGATTGAATCTTGTGAGTATCTTGACCTTGACTTTTCATTTGGAGTTAATTCAGGTGTAGTAGGATAGTGCACCTGTAACAAAAATGAAATAATTACTTTGTGGGGGTTGAATTCTATCTCAAGGAGAACTTGTCAAAAAACTAAAAAATCATAGGATGAAATTTTGCACTCTAAACTTTATCTATGGACTAGGTCCCATCAACTTTCCCCCAAACACCATTTGGGTGTAAAAGAGAGTATGACTTTTTAGGTAGAGGTAAATTAAGACATCTGCAAATGAGACTCTCTGTCATCCTTTTGTTTTATTTGAACGACAAATTGATGAGAAACAAATGTATTCCAAAGCAAAAATAAACTTTTCACTTACAAGCATAGTTGTCAAATTGTGTATCAGAAGACGTATTGTTTTTTAAAAATAGTGTATTGTATCGTGAATCGTGTATTGTAAAATATGTGCAATTTTAAATTTTAAAATAATTATTAATAAAAAATATATATTTACTTTTGTAAAAAAGTCATAGACTCATAATAATATAGCATTTCATTAATATTCCATCAACTATTCAAGTTCCCAATATAGTTTAGGAATATCAAAATACAAAAACCTCTAATTCAAATTTCTAATATCAACTGCTTGAATAATCTTAATATTAATCAGGAATTTTGAATTCAATTGAACAATATTAACGGAGACTTTAATTATTTTTTTTTAAACTATAACCACTGAAACGCGTTGTTCTAGTGACTAGTGATTTAAAAATAAGTTTTAGGGTAAAATAATGTCATTTCAGCAAAAAAAAAAACCAGAATCGTCACGTATCGTATGATACGGTGTAAAAACGATACAGAGAAATGATACGTATTGTTTTTTCAGGTGTATTGTGATGTATCGTACGATACGTATCGCGTATCATACGATACTAATAACTATGCCTACAAGTCTCTCTATCTCTGTAGTCTTTTAAATGAGTTAATTTAGTGGGAATAAGAAAAGGTAAAGAGTATGATATATGTTATCAAAAATAATAATAATAATAGAGATATTAAAGAGTTGGCAATGTTTAATTTATTCATTTTTTTGGGGTATTAAAGGAATTCAAAAGTTTTTCATACTTCTTGACATTTAGAAGTAGTATAGATATAGATATATTCTGAAAATTTTATGGTAATCAAGAAATTGGATGTAAAACCTGAAGTAGCGTTTTATTTTGGTTTGAGTAGTTTCCTTTTATCCAAATTTTTCATTTGTGTTTGCATTTCATCCGTAGACTCTAGTACTAATGAAAACATTGTCACTTTGCTACATTGCATTTATACGTCTGAAATATGTGCTAGTAATTTGCCATTGCTATAGTAAGATATTATCCACGTGTTCATGACTATTAATGATGTTTGTGGAGTTGGCTGTCATCTAGCTATACTTTATATCCTTGATGCAAACTTGTGTTTCTCCTTTCAGGTTGCTCAGGTAATGCATGTACACATGTTATATCTCTTGCTATTGAGAAAGCGCTGAAGGTATGCTTGGTTCAAGCAGATTGTGCTCTGATGGCTGTTGGTTTTAGTATGTATTTTTGTGTACATCACTACTGATGCCTACCTGCTATGAAAGTTATTTCGTTTGATTCTTGCAGCTTAAAGGGAATGCCAGTTCAAATCGTCAACATGTGCATGGCTGCAGTCTTGTCCGGGCAAGGAGGTTTTATGGTTATCATTCTCCAGAGGAGCTATTTGTGAAGATTTACCTGTATCCAAATATTTGATCTTTTGTGTTTGTGTGGAATGTGTTAAATTTCATAGTGATTGTTGCTGTTTCTGTTGATGAGGTATTTCTAGTTTAGCTATTTTTTTGGCCCAAGTCTGAACAATGATCTATTTGTTCCTTCAGTGCCCCTTTACAATCCTCATGAAATATAGAATATCCGAGTTTTGATCTCAGGAATCAAGATGACTATGAGAAAGCTACAAGTATTGGCTTGATGCATTTAATGTTAATTTGTGTGAACATGTGTATGGTATTTTGATTGATCATTCTGTTTTGTCAAGCATTGGTTGCCCTGTAGAATGAATTGCATCTAGTTCGTCTAGAAGATAAAAAAAAAGGGATTTATAAAATTGCCTTTCTGAAGGTCCAAATGTTAAAACTACTTTAAATAGCCTTTCGTCTACCATATTTTTTGGCCCAAAATTGCGATTTGTTGATATAATTGTCATTAGTATTCACTATTCACTACTAGGTCACACAATGCAGTGAAGCCCGTGCTACTTTGCCTGACAAGAGTTCTTAAGTTTCATATTTAGATTGTTTACAACAGTTGATATTTCCATTTTCATCAAACTTTCCATCTATATATGTTGACCAGAATATGTAGTGCTGTTTTGTATTGTTTTCTCGCTCTTTGATTATCACAATTATGCTTTCTAAATGAGTAATCCTGGACGAGATGGAAAGTAGCTACTACTTGATGTTTAATTTGTGATATGCTCTCTATGTACACCTAACATGCTGTCCAAATCTTTTCAGTGGACTAAGTCTTTTATGGTATTACCACTGAATTTTCCTATACATGTTTATTTGTTTGTTCGTTTGTTTATTATCCACAAGTGTGAGCTTGGCTCTCATGTAAGGGGGTGAAAAGAGAGTTTGTATCACACGTTGAATGATTGAGGTCACTCAAGGTTAGTTTATATGATGAAGGGACCTCTCCACTTTTTGTTAATTGGTTGTGAGGTGCATGCTCTAATAATAATAATTTAACATTTGCATTTTTAGCTGTTGAGAGCAATGATCAAAATTTCATTTTGAAATGGTCAAAATGGCTGAAATATTTTTGTTTCCAAGGAGACTGGAACAAATGAGTGTTGAATGGAAATTTCAATGTTTCAAGGTGCCTTTGAATTTTGTGAGGTGTTAAGATATTTCTGTATATTTCGATGATGTTTTAGAATGTTTTGAAAATAAATTCCCTCATTTTTTTTATCCATTTCCAATCTATTTCCAAAACGTTGTCGAAATGAAATTTTGATCCTTAGTTGAGAGGATGGTAAGAGTTAATGTTCTGCTTTAATAATTTTATCATTTTGTTCGTTGTTGTCAATACTATTTTTGAATAGTGCCATGGAGTACCTTGACAGGAATTTAAGCTACCATCCACAGGATGTTTCTCGGGCTGCCAAACTTCTTCTGGTACATGTTCTTGTACCTCTCACCTGGATGCTTGATTGTTGTTTGACGTTATTTGGGCAGATTAAGCTGTTTTATGGGTTGTTTTGTAATTCTGTATTGCTGAATTTTATGAAATTCATTCCTTCTTAATTTTTTCTATCTTGCATATGTCATGCTCTTCAGTGCCAATATATAGAGGCTTTTGGCTCGTAAAGTTAAATTCATTCATGATTTTAACCTTCTGTGCACAGCATACTTTGAAATTGTTAGACTTTAGATAATTTTCTTTTATGGAAACATCCGTGTTTGATAGTTGGCCGAACACACGGTTAGTGGTCAAACAAGGTGTTTGGATAATGGATGCATTCTGTTTTTTTTTGTTAAAGAGGTTCGGCCAGTACCTCTGAGAAAAACTAGTTCTCAAAGTTGGCCTAGTTAAGATGAGCCTGGTTGCTCCATCTAGACTAAGCCTCTAAAGGCTTTTTCTATTTGCAATTTTTTCAAAAGGCATGAAAGCAGGATTTTGGGTTTGTAAGTTGAAGGAAATGCATCTTTGTTTCTGCAGGCATCCTACCATCAACTCTTGAAAATCTATGTTCTTGCACATGGTGTAAACTCTCATGGATCATAAAACATGCTGGATTACTGTCTTAGTTGAATTTCCCCTTCTATTTATCAGTCATGAAATCTGCTTACGTACTTTTATGTAGCTATCTATGTTTTTCTTTTGGTAGTAATGGACAAATATTGTAATCTTTGAACTTTGGATAAATTTTCTTTTGCAGGGAGGTGCAGTTCTGGATAAGGCTTTACAGCCCCATGAGTCACATATACCATTTCTTCTGCAGTTCCTCGTAAGTACTCTCTTGCATTTGAACAGGAGTTTTTAGTGGGAGTTAATTCATTAGTTTGCTAAAGATGCAGTAATTTTTATGGTCCTCATTATTTATGGTATTTTTGTGTAGTTATTATCCTTTTTTCTTTGTAAGTTATGTTTGCTTGGTTGGTAACAATTAAGTGATTGGGTGATTCTTCTTGAAACTTTCGTGTTTGACTTTTTGCTATTATTTGGATTCTAAGATTCACATTCTTTGTACTGCTTTTCCACTGTTCTGAATAGTGTATTACCCATTGTTGAAAAAAAATAGTGTACTACCCATGAGATTTATGCCCCCATATATATTATTCAATATCATCTTAATGAGTTGATTACTTCAAATACAACATCATGACAAATAATATCTTTTACAAAAATTGAATTGGTGGAGAACATGCACCTTCAAATGCTATGAGACTCACCTTCCTAAGTTTTTTTTTTCCCACTCTTTTTTTGGTGCTGCTTTCATTCCGTAAGATGTTTTTTCCTTTTTATCAAAAATGGTCAGGTTGACTATAACTTGTCTGGCATGGGTCATTTACATTTGTCAAAGATTAAATTCCGCCAACCAGTACCAGATGTTTTCATTCCAAAGAAAACTATTAACAATGGACAACATATGCAACAGACAGATAAACCCACTTGCATGTCTGCTGACTTTCAGGTAATCTCTCTCTCTTTGTCTCTCTCTCTCCGTTTTCCAGATTTTGTACTTGATAGGCATATGTTTGTGTTTTCGGCATGTATATTATGTCTATTATATGATGTGGAAACTCTTTTTTAGGCAGATTCCTGTGGTGATGACTTTTTAGCTTCATCAATCTGGATATCCTCTTCAATTCCAGATGGTTGGACTTGGGAAAATTCTAGTCAACTTGATCCTTCAGCATATCAGGAAATTCCTGTTGCTAAACGACAAAGTATCTGTGAACTTGAGGGAGATGCTGCCGTAGATGGTTTGTTTGGTTTCACAATTTTGTCACCGGGATATGGGTCCTTTCTTTATGTTCAAGAAATTCATTGCCAAATTAATCATCTGTGATTTTGCAGAGATCCTCAATCAGCAGTTTAAATTGTACTCATCTCTCTCACAAACACGTTCAGAAGTTAGAATGGTTCAATCACTTATACCAATTTGGGAGGTTTGATATCAAGTCCATAAATGTGTCGTTCACCCCTACTTCAATTGTTTTGGCATTTTTATGGTAAGTCTTACCTTTCTTTCTTAGGAGGAGTTCAAAAGAACTGGGATGCATGAGGATGCCGTACATTCTGACCCTGGAAGACCACTTCCGGAAGATGCTTTGAGGACTCTCTCACCTGAGCTTGAATTTGAGAACAAACTAAAAGAATTGTGCAGAGATGCAGAAGAGTTGTCATCTTGTACTCCCTTTCAGAATGCAGCGATGACTGTGCAGTCAATTAAATCCTCAAATGCCGAGGGGAATTTGGTGGATTTTGGAGAGGTTAACCCTGCAAATAATGCAAGAGAACCTTTGAAGTGTTTGAAAGAAAGTGAAAAAATGTTATCGCAGGTTTTACCATGTCGAGTTGATGAGGGTATGATACCTGGTGAAGGGAGAGATGCAAGTTCCAAGCAATTGTCAGCTTGTGAATTGCAAATAGTGGATACAATTGGACCAGTGGATATGAAGGTAAATAGTAACTGTTTTAGGCATATTTTGTCTTTCTAAATGTTGATTCGTTAACTTTTGAACACATGTTCCTTATCCGTGATTCTGTGAAATGGCTGGGTGCTCTGTTTAGTGTGGAAGGTCTTCTGTTCAGAAAACATTTAGTAATCGAATGCCAAAATTGCTGTCTTTTACCTTTTGCTTGTAGCTTTGTACTGTGTGATAGAATTTCATGTGCTATGGACTTGTGTAGTTCTTTGGGCTCATTCTACTACTGAAGCTGATTGTAAGGTTTTAGAGGTTAGTGTGAAGGAGTACATCAGTTTCATGACATCTAAGTTAAGGAAATAAAGTTAAAACATAAATTCTCCTGGCTGAAGTGAAATTTCCGAGAAACGTAATTGCAACCAAATAAAAAAGAAAAAAGATCATCCATGCTGAGTTGTTATATAATGTATCGTGGAAATTGTTTGAAGCACTTGTGACCATTTTTTGAAAGTTATATCCTTTAGTGCAACAGTCCCAATACCAATACTAGTATCAATATTTATTAAATTCGCAACTTTTGAAATCTTGTTGAATACAAGGGCGCCACTGCATGTTGACTGTGTGATGCATGTGCTGCCGAAGTTTAACCTCTGGATTTTAATATGTTGTGTTTGGCTGTCCCTTGCGTGAGTTCTCATACAAGGATGCATAGTTCTCATACAAGGACGCATTTTTCATTTTGAAACCATGTTTTACAACAGTGAATCACCTAACTCATTAATTCCAAATTGAGTGATCGTTTGCGGTACTGATATCAAAATATGGCAGTAGTGTACGTTTCTCAATGATGCCAGTGCATGTCTTGTCCAGATATGATCCAGGATTAGACATGTTCCTGTGGTAGTTGGTCCATGTTGTTTTTGACTTTTTTTTAAAAACTTTCTTTAATAGTGTGTGCTGCAGATGCCTCTAACTTTCCACTTTTTTAATTCGTTCATGCATTTTAAAATATGTCACCATTGATATTTTCCAGGCTTCAGATCAGGAAACCTTGAGGCTTCTAAAGTGGCTTGCATCTTCTCAAGCTGCAGAAGATATAAACTCTGATGATGAGCTTGTTCGAGATACCGTTTTGAGTCCCTTGTTGCCTGCAACAACCATTGATAAGATTTTGGAGAAAGCTAATATGGATTATGAGAGTGAATCTCTACAAGAGTGTCAGGACATTCTCGATTCTGTTGAAGATATTATTGACTTTGAAGGTTCAATGGGAAGGTCTTCAAATTCAAGTGATTGTAATCATCATTGCCAAACTTCATCAGATGAAAAAATTCCCCAAATGGATGGTTCTGGTGATGGTCAAACCTTAATTCCTTGTGCTTCTAAATTATCTAACATAGAGATGACCAATGAATCTGAAAAGTCTTTGCAAGTTTGGGTACAGCATGATAATGCCTTGCGCTTTACCACTAAGCGGAAAAGGAAAAAACCATTATGGGGCTCTTTACCTGTTTCCACAACTCCGAAAGTGAATGATGACTTACAGCCTATCAGTTTCAATGTGAATGGTTGCTGTGACAGTGAAACAAGAGGTGTCATAGGAACTTGCTCTTGGGAGGGAACTGAGGTAGACAGATGTTTGGATGATTTTTTTGGTGATACAGATAGAGATGCGTGTTATTTGAAAGAAGCAAGTACAATGGCTGGATGCTCCATGCGGGATCTGATGAGGAGAAAGCGATGCTGCCGTGTTGAGCTGCCTGAATGTGAGACTCCCCAGTTCAGAAAGGTTCCTACTGAAGAGGACCTGAAGGAAGATTCATTTCTCTGTGCAAAAGGGAATGTTGGGCATGTTGGGCAAGATAAAAGGCTTTTTGCTTCATCCACCTCAAGTTCTGCTGTTAAACCTAACAGTTTTTATTGTTCTATGTATGGTAAACTGCCTCTTTCCTCGAGGAGTGATAGCTCAGTTCTTCATTGTAAAGGACGTAATGGAGAGGTCACTGGAGCAAGTACAGGATCTAGAAACTTCAGAATGTCTGGATTTTCTCCACTGCATACAGGAACTAAAGACATTCCCCAGTTACATAACTCTGAAAATCAAAAGTCATCAATTTACATGGGACATAAAGAGAATTATAATTCTGAAGAGTTTGAGGGCGGTGTGAATTGTAGTATACCTTTAACTTCTAATGCTTATGCTAGCAAACCTGATTCTTGTGTTAGGCTGTCGAAGTTTGATTCTGAGGGTGAATTTTTGGGAAATGAGAAGTTGCTACAGACAGATTCTACTGATTCCTGCTGTCTGTCTACTTATCGGGTTGAAAGCGAAATGTTTGATAAAGATGGTTGTATATCCAAAAGCGGCCATGAGGGCAAAACCTCTATGCAGAGAGTACCTGAAATGTCATCTGACATTTTGAAAGGCATAGAGGTGACAACTGGCTCAACTCATTGGCATGACCCTGTGGAACTCATCTCCATGACCTTCTGCAAGAAACCCCCTGTGATAGAGTGGAGACATGATGGGCATGCTTCATCCTCATCTGGAATCCTTGATCACCCTTCTGGGTATATCGGACGAACATCAGGTCAGGGTGGAGTTGTAAATGAAAGCCTTCCATTTTTTGTGGGGGATTGGCTAGAGGAGAAAGATGTACAGAACACTGGCCATAGAACAACATTCTTGAACCATCATCAAAAACCTGTCATGGGTGTCCCCACTCACTATCAGAATGATGGCTCCTATTTATACATGTTGACACCTGTGTTATCACCCCCCTCCATGGACATTATTAATAGATGGCTGTTGCTTGATGACCCTGATATTTTGGGAGAGAACGTAATGCCAATGCCAGAGGAGCCTTCATCACAAAAGGGCTCTTCTAGCATCCTGGTAGACTCACAAGGTTCTCTGGCTGATGCTTGTGATGAACCTTCACCGGAACCTGGTTCTACAGCTGGTGTGAAGCCTGAAGTGGATCAACTAAATCAACTAGACCTACTAAGCCATCGTATGCAGCCTTCTCACAATGATGTGACAACAGTCCTGCAAAGTGAATGTGATACTTTGAAAGGGAAACAATCCACCAGTTGCTCGCAAGATGTCTCTCAGATCTCTGGGCCTGATGAGAAATCAAAGCTGACTCCTTTAAGTCAAATTGGATTTAGAGATCCTGCTAGTGTTGGTGGCGGGCAGCAGCTAACACTGTTAAGTATAGAGGTTCAAGCAGAATCTAGGGGTGATTTACAACCTGACCCTCGATTTGATGCTATCAATTTTGTAGTTCTTGTTTTTCAGAAAGATGACGATTCCATATTTGACGCTTATGTTCTTTTGTGTGGTAATGTTGACTCTGTCAGAAGAAACCTTGATGGCATATCTGGTTGCAAGTTGTTGGTTTCCTCTGAAGAGAAGCACTTGTTTAGCTATTTCATTGATATAATTTATTCTCTGGATCCAGATATGTTAATGGGATGGGATATCCAAAGTGGTTCACTTGGTTTTTTGGCTGAAAGGGCCGCATATCTTGGCATTGGTTTACTTAATAAGATATCCCGGACACCCTTCGAAACCAATGTAGCTTCTACTGATAGGGTTACTCTTGAAAAAGGAACACCTAATGATGGGCTCTCGGAATCTGTTATTTCTGATTCTGTTCTTGAAGCTGCAATAATTGAGGATGAATGGGGCCGAACTCATGGCAGTGGTGTACATGTTGGTGGCAGAGTTGTCCTCAATATTTGGCGATTGATGCGCAGTGAAGTTAAGCTTAATCTGTACACATTTGAAGCTGTAGCTGAAGCAGTTCTGAGGCAAAAAATTCCCTTTATTCATTGCAAGGTATTGACAAAATGGTTTTCAAGTGGTCCTGGACGAGCAAGACATCGATGTATTGAATACATGTTACATAGAGCAAATTTGAACCTCCATATTATGAATCAGCTTGATATGATAAACCGAACATCAGAACTTGCTCGGGTCTTCGGCATTGACTTTTTCTCGGTTCTCTCTCGAGGGTCACAGTACCGTGTTGAATCCATGTTTCTCAGATTGGCACATTCACAAAATTATCTGGCCATTTCTCCTGGGATCGAACAGGTTGCTGCTCAGCCTGCAATGGAATGCCTACCCCTTGTAATGGAGCCAGAATCTGGTTTTTACGAAGATCCAGTTGTTGTTTTAGACTTTCAATCCCTTTATCCATCAATGATAATCGCATACAATCTCTGCTTCTGTACTTGCCTGGGAAAACTTGCTCCTTCGAAGGCAAATACACTTGGTGTTAGTTCCTATTTACCTGATTTAAATATTTTGCAGATTTTGAAGCGCAAAATTCTGCTTACGCCAAATGGTGTTATGTATGTGCCCTCAAAGGTTCGTAAAGGTGTATTACCTCGGTTGTTGGAAGAAATATTATCAACTAGAATTATGGTGAAACAAGCCATGAAGAAGTTGGATCCATCTCAGAAAGTTCTTCACCGGATTTTTAATGCGAGACAACTTGCATTGAAGCTAATAGCAAATGTAACATATGGTTATACAGCTGCTGGTTTTAGTGGTCGCATGCCTTGTGCAGAACTTGCAGACAGTATTGTCCAATGTGCTCGCAGAACACTAGAAAATGCTATTTCATTTGTTAACTCACACGAAAACTGGGAGGCTAAAGTTATCTATGGTGATACTGATAGCATGTTTGTCCTACTTCATGGACGCTCTGTTAAGGAAGCCTTCCGAATTGGACATGAAATTGCTTCTGCAATAACTGCAATAAATCCAAATCCAGTCACATTGAAAATGGAGAAAGTCTATCATCCATGCTTCCTTCTCACTAAGAAACGGTATGTTGGTTACAGTTATGAGAGCCCTGATCAAATCAAACCTGTGTTTGATGCCAAAGGTATTGAGACAGTGCGCAGAGATACTTGTGGGGCCGTGTCCAAGACAATGGAGCAGTCCTTGAAACTTTTTTTTGAACATAAGGATATCAGTAAGATTAAAGCATACTTACTACGTCAGTGGACACGAATTTTATCTGGAAGGATTTCTCTTCAGGATTTTGTATTTGCAAAGGAGGTGCGGTTAGGCACCTATAGTACACGGGCTTCTTCGCTCCCTCCAGCAGCTGTTGTGGCCACCAAAGCAATGAGAGCTGACCCCAGGGCAGAAGCACGGTATGCAGAGCGAGTTCCTTATGTTGTAGTCCATGGTGAACCTGGTTGCCGTCTGGTTGATATAGTGGTGGATCCACAAGATCTTCTGGCCATTGATTCCCCTTTCAGATTAAATGATTTGTATTACATAAGAAAACAGATAATCCCAGCTTTGCAGCGGGTATTCGGACTTGTTGGAGCCGACTTGAACCAGTGGTTTTCAGGCATTCCTCGTCCTGGACGGGAAGCTATTGCTAAACGCCACTCACATGCTCGCAATCCGCATCGAACCAGAATTGATTATTACTATCTCTCAAAACATTGTATCCTATGTGGTGAGTTGGTCCAGGCATCTGCCAATTTATGTAGTAAATGTTCAAAGAATACAGCTACTGTTGCAACAGCGGTTATAGGAAGAACTTCAAAATTGGAAAAGGAGATCCAACATCTTGATGCTGTAAGTATTATTGTGGAACCCTTTGATTACAGAGTACTTCATAGTTGGTTATTTTGGCTATTGATGTATTCAGTTTGGTTATCTTTTTTTTTTTTTGTTTTTCCCCCTTTTTTTCATCTTTCTTTTTCCTTCTTTGTGGCATACTATTTATGTAGTATCTCTCCATTATATCTGCTTGGTGTCGATGATGTCCAATTTTTTTTACTCTGATCACGAGGCAATTTTCTTGTGTTTTGAACTTTTTATTTGGAGACATTTTTTCATGTGAAAAAATTAGCAGTTTTTGTGGCATTTTGTTAAGCATAAGCTTGTGTGTTGCTTAGTATTGGATATGGTGTACACATATTGGGTTTACTCTAAAAGAATACGTGAATACTGTTGGGATGTTCACCTATATGGGTATACCTCTTCGTTTCTTAGTTCTCTTTTTTTTTTTGTTGTTTGAAAATTGTTGCCCCCCCCGCGGCTCAAAAAAAAATTCATTTTTATTGACATGTTATTTAAATGTCTGGAGTATTCCAAGTTCCATGTCTGGAGTATTCCAAGTTCCATGGTTTTGGTTATTAAGTTCCCACATTTTCCAACAAATTGTGTAATCCATTTTGTTTGATTTGCTCGGCAATTCCTTGTCTTGAATATGTCATCTTTGCGTGTGTGTGTGTTTGGGTTTTGTAAGTTTGTTGGACATTACGTGTCTGAGGTGAAATGATCTAGGTTCTGGTTGGTGGGTGCTTGTTCTTTTGTAGATATGTAGGCACTGTGGAGGTGGAGATTGGCTTATAGAAAGTGGGGTGAAATGCACATCACTTGCATGCTCTGTGTTCTATGAGAGGAGGAAAATTCAGAAGGAACTGCAGTCACTTTCTGCTGTTGCTACAGAAGCCGGTTTCTACCCGAGCTGTATGGTGGAGTGGTTTTGAGTTTCATATTCCAAGAACATGGGATAGAAAGAAACTTTATTTCCAACATCTGACGGATATGTATATTTGTATCTCTGATTTGTCTCTTGGTAAGTTCCAAAAAAGACAAAAAAATGGTAACTTGTATATTGCCCAAGGTTTATTCATCGTAATTTGTTTACCGTTGTAAGTTGAAATTTGAAGCAATGTATTTTTTTGAATTCCATCTCATCTAAAATCAATGAAATTTGAAGCAAGTTGAAAAGATGTGTGGCCCTTTTCTGGGTGGTCAATCCATGTGATTGTTTTCATTTATTTTTTCCTGATAATGGAGGAGGAATGGTGAGATTTGAAGCATTTACTCCAAATTGAGGAGTATAGCATAAGTATTAATCAAATAGTCTTGTTTTATAATCCGTAGGACCATTTTTTGAATAAGTGTAGATGACCTAGTTTCATTGCTGTTTCTGTGAAATGCGAATGATGAAGCGATTCCTTTGCACTGCTTTCATAGTCAAACTTCGGTCGGAAACAAGATCAAGGCAATAAGAAATTCAGCCGATCGCAGCTCTCTCTCTCTCTCTCTCTCTCTCTCTCTATATATATATATATATATATATATACACACACACTAATTATTGCCCATGTCGTAATATTGTCAATAATAAACAGCCATGGGTGATGGTGATTGTGGATGGCGGTGGTGGTGGAGGTAGGGGTGTAACTTGGGTTGGGCAATTCGATTTCAACTCGAGCCAAACTCAAAAAAATTAGGGTTTGAGCAAGAGTTTTTAATACTTGGGTTGGACTTAGGTCAAAAAATTACAACCTGAATTCAATTTGGATTCGACTTGGGTTAGAAAATTCCAACCCGATTTTTTCGAACTCGACAAATTAAAAATAAAATTATATATATATAATTAGCACTGATGTTTCATTTTTGTTCTATCATTCTCTGTTTCTGTCGTTCATTTTCATTTTTGTTATAACATTAGTACTGTTAAAAACTTGGTTGAAGTTATTAGTTGTTAATTTAGATGAATATTATGTAATATATGTATTAGGTTTAAAACAACAAGCCTATTTTGGGTTCTACCCGAACTAAACCTGTAAAGTAACTCAAAATCAACCCGAAACCATTAACCCGAATTCAAACCGAAATAAACTCAGGCAGTGCTCGGATTGAGTTCCTCAATTCGAGGTAGGGTTAGGGTTAGAGATGAAGATTATATACCTAAAATTGGATTAGGGTTGACTGTCCAACTTGCCCGAGTTGCACCCCTAGGTGGAGGGACGATGATGGTAGTGACGAGGCGATGACGATTGTGGTGTCGGTAGTGAGTTGTGGTGGTAGGTGGTGATGATGGTAATGGTGGGTAACAACGTGTGCTTGTGGGCAACAGTGGTGGTGGATGTTGGCGAGTAGCGATGGTGGTGGTAGGTATGGTGGGGGTGGGTGACAGTAGGTGACGACGGTGGTCGGTGATGACGATTGATAGTGGTTGGTGGTGGAGGTGGGTGGCGGCGGGGGTGGGCGACGACGGGTGGCAATGGGCAACGATGGTATTGGTGGGATGATGGTGGTAGTGGTGAAAAACTATAAGAATGAGATGATGATGATAACGGGTGGCGGCGGTGAGCCTAACAATCGGCTGTGGGTGACGATGGTGGTGGTGGGGTGACGGTGGTGGTGGTGGGGTGGCGGTGGTAGTGGCGATGGTGGTGGGGATGGTGGGGGTGGTGAGGTTGGTGGGCTGGCTTCAGTGGTGGGGTGGTGGCAGCGGTGGTGGTGGGGTGACAGTGGTGGTAGTAGTGAAGTATTTTGTAGAGAAGTGATTTTAAAAAATTAGATTTTTTTGTTTGCTTTTACGTATTTACTTATTTAAGTGATAAAACTACTTATGACTTATTTGTAAGTAATTAAAATAAGTTGTTCCAAATATTATTATTTTTTAAGTGTTTATGAGAAGTTATAAGTCTTAGAATCACTTTTAAAAAGTCACCCTAACCCTTAAGAAATTTATTTTTCCTAGTAAATTTTGGGAATTAACATTAGCCGTCGGATTGACTTTAAAGTAAAATTTAAAACAATCTCAGTCACGAAAGAAAAAATTTATCTTTTATGTTGTACTTTATTATATACTAGTTATTGTTTATGCCTGAAGATAGGGAGTAATAAAAAAAAATGGTCAGCAATAAATATATTTGCATTCACACCCAAAATCAAATACCAAATATAGAGGAGAGAGAAAGAAATTTAAGCACCAATTGTAATGGGGGTGAGCGGTGGTAGTGGTGGTGGGAGATAGTGATTGATGTGGTGGGTGGCGATGACCATGATAGTGGTGGCAGTTGTGGGTGACAATAGTGATGGAGGTGGTGTGTTTTGGGTAATGATGTTGGTAATGGAAGCCACGGGTGACGGCGATGGTAGTGGTGGGCGACAATGATGTTAGTTGGCACTAGTGGTGGTGGAGCGACGATGATGGTGGTAGGGGTGGTGGGCGGTGACGATGGTGGTGATGGATGACGATGGGTGCTTTCTGGATTACAATATGATGGGTGGTGGCAAATGACGATAGTGGTAGTGATAGGTGTAGTGAGGGTGGGTGATAGTGGTTGGTGGCAGTGGTGGGTGATGATAGGTGGTGGTAGTAGGGGTGGTGGGGGTGGGTGAGGGTGACTAGAGGTAAGGGTGGACGACAACAGGTGGTGGTGGGCAACAATGATGGTGGTGGTGCTGACGATGGGCAACGATGGTAGTGGGGTTATGGTGGCAGTGGTAATAAATATAAGAATGAGATGACGATGGTGTGGGTGGTGGTGGTGGACGATGGTTGTAGCAATCAGTAATGGGTGGCGATGGTAGTTGTGGGGGTGGTGTAGGGGTGGTGATGGGGTGGTGGAGGGGGTTAGTGGTGGTGGTGGTAGGGTAGTGGCAACGGTGGAGGTGGTGGTAGTGGTGATGGTCGTGGGGGTGGTGGTGGGGCAGTGGAGGTGGCAGTGGTAGTTAGTGGTGATAAGGTGGTGGGGCGGTGGTCGTCGTGGTGCTGGTGGTGGTGGGTATGGTGGTGGGGTGATGATAGTGGTGGTAGCGACGATGGTAGTTGTGGTTGTTGTGGCAGAGGTGGTGGTGGGGTGGCAGCGGCAATGGTGGTGGTGGTAGTGGTGACAGTGGCGTTGGGGCTATGAGGGGTGATGGTGGTGGTGGGGGTAGTTATGGTAGTGGGTTGGCGGTGGTGCTGGTGGTTGTAGTGGTGCGGCGGTGGAGGTGGTGGTGAGGCAGTTTTAAACACTACATTTTTTTTATTAAAGTACTAATGAGAAGTTTTAAGTTTTAAAAATATTTTTAAAAAATACTCCAAACGCCCTTAGGGTCATATTTTTTCTATTAAATTTGGGGTGTTAATATTAACAATTGAATTAAATTTAAAATAAAATTTAAAGAGAACTCAACTATGAAAAGGAAACGTCATTTTGTTTATCTTTTGAGATTTGAATTGTATTGTACTTTATTATATAGACTAGTTATTTTTCGTACCTGAAAGCACGAAGTAATAAAAAAAATGGTCAATAATAAATATATTTGTATTCACATCTAAATCAAATCATAAAGAGAGATGAGAAAGAAATAAATTTAAGCATTGATGATAGTGGTGGTGGGCGACAATGGTGATAGTAGAAAACGGTAATTATTGTGGTGGGTGGCAATGCCCATATAGTGGTGGCAGTCGTGGGTCGCAATGGTGATGGTGGTGGTGGATTTTGGGTGACGATAGTATTAGTGATAGTCATTGGTAACGGTAGTTATGGTGGTGGGACAACGACGGTGGTTGTGGCAGTGGTGGGCGGTGACGATGGTGATGATGGGCGATGAAAGGTGTTTTTGGGCGACAGTGTGATGGGTGATGCAAATGGCAGTGGTGGTCATAGGTGTGGTTGGAGTGGGTGATAGTGGGTGGGGGTAGTGATGAGCGATGACAGGTGGTGGTGGTAAATGTGGTGGGTCTGGGTGACAGTGGCTGGCGACGATGGTAGGTGACGACTTGTGGTGGGCAACAATAGTGGTGGTGGGTGCTGACGGTGGTAATGAGATCATGATGGTAATGGTAATAAATACAAGAATGAGATGACAATAGTGGTGGGTGGTGGGTGGTGGTGGTGGACGAAGTTGGTAGCAATTTGTGGTGGGTGGCAATGTTGGTGATGGTGGTGGGAGTGGTGATGGGGCAATGGTGGTGGTGGCGGTTGTGGTAGGGCAATGGCGGTGGTGGGGGTGGGGGTGGTGGTAGCAGTGGGACTGTTGGTGGTTGTGGGGTGATGGATTGATGGTGGTTGTGGTAGTGGTGGTGGTGGTAGGGGGTGATGGTGAGACAGTGATCGTAGTTATGGGGTGGTGGGGGTTGGTGTTGGTGGTGGGGTGACGACAGTGGAGGTGGTGGTAGTTGTTGTTGTTGTGGTAAAGGTGGTGGTAGGGTGACGACGGTGGTGGTGGTAGTTGTGGTAGTGGTGGTGGGGGGTGGAGGTGGTGTGGTGGTGTGACGGTGGTAGTTGTGGTGGGGGTGGGGGTGGTAGGGCGATGGGTGTGGTGGTGGTTGTGGTAGAGATGGCGGCAGTGGTGGTGGTGGTGGTAGTAATGATAGTTGTGGGGCGGTGTGGGTGGTGGTGGGATGGCTCCAAGCAATACTTTTTTTTTTTTAAAGTACTAATGAAAAGTTATAAGTTCCAGAAATATTTTTAAAAAGTCACTTCAAATATACTATTTTTTTTTTATTTTTTTACAAATATACTCTTAGAGTTCTATTTTTTCTATTAAATTTGGGATGTTAATATTAGCCGTCGGATTAATTTTGAAGTAAAATTTAAAGAGATCTCAACCATAAAAAGTAAAAATTATTTTGTTTATCTTTTGAGATTTGAATTGTATTGTACTTTATTATAGATATATATCAATTTTGAGAGAGACATGATGCATCATCAAAACTTGAAAAAAATATAAGGCTTTATTCATCTATGATCAA